CTCTCTATTACAAATATACAAAGGTTGAAATTACAACCAATATAAGCGATATCTCAGTTAATTTATGGTAAAAATACTCACAAAAATGATAAATAACGATATGATACCCATTTTTTTTTCCAATACCGTAGACTTGTCTAGGATTGTGAATTTGTTTCGTTGGTACGAACCTAATACACATGAAATCGAAAGTGACATAATTTGTTAGTTCAAATAACAAATTAATTGGGTTAGTGCTAGATATAAATAATTCGTTTAGTTGATAATATTTTTTTTTCTTTATCTAGTATAATGAGTTGAAATGATATGAAACACAGATACCACAATATGATTCGTTTGATACCCCAAAATTTGAACTTTCAATAAAGTAACTATTGACACAAACGCAAACCGAACACAGCAGGGAATCAATGAGCAATTACATCACTCAAGTCATTTTGTCTACAATTTAATGAAAAGTGGCGAAGTGTGTCACTCATTCGATACAAATGAGTTAGAATAAATTATATACATGATCTTCAAATTATGGCCATTATTTCAATTAGGTCCTTAAACATTTTCTGTATATGTCAATTGAGCCTTTTTGTATTTTTNGAATTAAAAGCAAATTCCACTTAAAATTGAAATTCACAACTTAATTAATCACTACATTAAATTATGTCCCTCTAATATTATTATTTATTTATTTTTTTGGGTTCAATGATCAGGAGCGTCCGAACTAATTTATGCACACATCAACTAATCTCCACCTTGATTCGATCAAAGACAAGTCATCAACGAAGAGATTAAGATATTATACATGAAGGATTTGATTTTAAAAAGATATAAAAATTTAAATTCAAGATATTTAAATTTACAGTTCGTATTTGTAACGTTATTCGTTGGTACTTGATTTGGGATATGTTCTAAGATCTCTGACTGAGTTGCCGAAGGGAAGACATTAACTGATTCATTTATGGGAAGCCACTTCCTTCACCTCTTCCTTGCCGCCCAGTTAAGAGAATAAAGATTGTTGGGAAGGGCCAGCTATAAGACAGTGACATTCCAAGAGAAGTGCCCTCATTTGGCTCTCACGGTACCGGTAGTACTGTGGTACATAAATATTTACAATAAAAAAATGGAAGAATTATATTCACACTCTTTAAGGTTTGTCACTTAATCACTCAGATCTCTTAACATTTAAAATATTACACACAGACCTCCTAAAGTTTGTACCCGCATAATACTTAGACCACTGTTATAAATATATCCGTTAATAAATTACACTTAGACCTCCTGAAATTTGTGGGTATATAATACTTAGACCCTTTAAATTTAAAATATTATACTTAGACTAAAAATACTCTAATCAAATATAAAATATCAAATATTTTAAATTTTACAATCAAAATTCATGTTCTATTGCATCATTTGTTGAAATAAAATTAAAAATAAAAATTCAATTTTTTCTTAAAAAATTGTAATTAGTATACAATTATATTGTTTGTTATAATTTAATTTAGTCATTTAAATGACGAAATTAAAACATCAAACTACCCCAATTAAATCTAAAATATATTGTGTCTATTACAGTTTGATTTCTTGTTTAATTTTTTAGTTTTGTTCTAATATATGGTATAAATATATACTAACTATGTTTTTTTTTAAAAATAAATTTTTATTTTTGATTTTATTTCAATAAATNCCCAATTAAATCTAAAATATATTGTGTCTATTACAGTTTGATTTCTTGATTAATTTTTTAGTTTTGTTCTAATATACGGTATAAATATATACTAACTATGTTTTTTTTTTTAAAATAAATTTTTATTTTTGATTTTATTTCAATAAATGACATAATAGAACATGAATTTTGAATGTAAATTGATGTTCTATTATGAATGACTTAGACTCATTGTTTGATTTTTTAGTTTTATTCCAATAGATAATATAATTGTATACTAATTATAATTTTTTTAAGAAAAAATTAAATTTTTATTTTTAATTTTATTTCAATAAATTATACAATAGAACATNATGTAAATTGATGTTCTATTATGAATGACTTAGACCCATTGTTTGATTTTTTAGTTTTATTCCAATAGATAATATAATTGTATACTAATTATGATTTTTTTAAGAAAAAATTAAATTTTTATTTTTAATTTTATTTCAATAAATTATACAATAGAACATGAATTTTGGTTGTAAAATTTAAAATATTTTTTATTTTATATTTGATTAGAGTATTTTTGGTCTAAGTATAATATTTTAAACTTAAAAAGTTAAAATATTATATACTCACAAACTTTAGGGGAGTCTATGATATATTTATTACAGGGGTCTAAGTGTTACGTGCGTACAAATTTCAGTGGGTCTGTGTGTAATATTTTNTAAATATTATATACTCACAAACTTTAGGGGAGTCTAAGTTTAATTTATTAACGGATATGTTTATAACAGGGGTCTAAGTGTTACGTGCGTACAAATTTCAGTGGGTCTGTGTGTAATATTTTAAATGTCAGGGGGTCTGAGTGATTAAATAACAAATCTCAGGAGATCTTAATGTAATTCTCTCCAAAAAAAATTATAATTTTGTATGCAGTTTATAGGTATTTTTATCGCAAGATAATGCTTAATTGATAAGTGTGTCTAGTTGGCTTGAGAATAAAAATGATTGAGTCTTGAGAATTGTTGTATAATTAATATTCTAAGCAAATAAAGGGTCAAGATGTATCTTACCATCTATATACACTGANAATCTTAATGTAATTCTCTCCAAAAAAATTTATAATTTTGTATGCAGTTTATAGGTATTTTTATCACAAGATAATGCTTAATTGATAAGTGTGTCTAGTTGGCTTGAGAATAAAAATGATTGAGTCTTGAGAATTGTTGTATGATTAATATTCTAAGCAAATAAAGGGTCAAGATGTATCTTACCATCTATATACACTGAAAATTATGAAATAGAAGTATGAAAAAACTATTCCCACATACTAGTTTTCATTGTCTTTGTGTTCTCTCTATTACAAATATACAAAGGTTGAAATTACAACCAATATAAGCGATATCTCAGTTAATTTATGGTAAAAATACTCACAAAAATGATAAATAACGATATGATACCCATTTTTTTTTCCAATACCGTAGACTTGTCTAGGATTGTGAATTTGNCCTCAGTTGATTTTTGGTAAAAATACTCACAAAAATGATAAATAATGATATGATACCCATTTTTTTTTCCAATACCGTAGACTTGTCTAGGATTGTGAATTTGTTTCGTTGGTACGAACCTAATACACATGAAATCGAAAGTGACATAATTTGTTAGTTCAAATAACAAATTAATTGGGTTAGTGCTAGATATAAATAATTCGTTTAGTTGATAATATTTTTTTTTCTTTATCTAGTATAATGAGTTGAAATGATATGAAACACAGATATCACAATATGATTCGTTTGATACCCCAAAATTTGAACTTTCAATAAAGTAACTATTGACACAAACGCAAACCGAACACAGCAGGGAATCAATGAGCAATTACATCACTCAAGTCATTTTGTCTACAATTTAATGAAAAGTGGCGAAGTGTGTCGCTCATTCGATACAAATGAGTTAGAATAAATTATATACATGATCTTCAAATTATGGCCATTATTTCAATTAGGTCCTTAAACATTTTCTGTATATGTCAATTGAGCCTTTTTGTATTTTTGTGCCATATGGTCATAGGTCACGTAAGTAGCGTACTCTAACGGAGGCAAATATAAGGACTCAATTGACACAATTAGAGAATTCAGAGGTTTAATTGATACAAATAAAGTTCAAGAGTTTAATTGATACAAGGGTCATAATTTGAATGTCATTATATCTTTTTTTTTTCCTATTGATGTTTGAATTTTCCCTCATCAAAGTTGAGGCTTATTTTCTTAATTCGTATTGCAACCTCTTTTTTTTTTAATCTCCCTATCTCTCTCTCTTATTTTTTATTAATAGTAATGCTAGATNGTATATGTCAATTGAGCCTTTTTGTATTTTTGTGCCATATGGTCATAGGTCACGTAAGTAGCATACTCTAACAGGGGCAAATATAAAGACTCAATTGACACAATTAGAGAATTCAGAAGTTTAATTGATACAAATAAAGTTCAAGAGTTTAATTGACACAAAGGTCATAATTTGAAAGTCATTATATCTTTTTTTTTTTTCCTATTGATGTTTGAATTTTACCTCATCAAAGTTGAGGCTTATTTTCTTAATTCGTATGGCAACCTCTTTTTTTTTAATCTCCCTATCTCTCTCTCTTATTTTTTATTAATAGTAATGCTAGATTGACAAAAAAAAAAAAAGGACTAAAAATAGAAATCAAAAAGCATAGTATTACCATAATGGTGTATTTTTCAATTGACGAGTTTGTGGGTTTAATATTTGGAGTTTTGCCTATGAAGGTGAAATGAATCATCTTTTTAATATTTATATAAAAAGTAGACAAGATAAAAAAAATAAAAGTAATAAAAAAATATTCATTCAGGTGTGTCGTATNAGGACTAAAAATAGAAATCAAAAAGCATAGTATTACCATAAATGGTGTATTTTTCAATTGACGAGTTTGTGGGTTTAATATTTGTAGTTTTGCCTATGAAGGTGAAATGACTCATCTTTTTAATATTTATATAAAAAATAGACAAGATAAAAAAAATAAAAGTAATAAAAAAATATTCATTCAGGTGTGTCGTATTACAATTGATTCAATTTATATTTTTTCTATTTATAATCCTGTATAGTTAAATTTGTATTATATATATATAAGTCGTGTTCAACAGATTTATTTCGTATTTAATCAAATTTATGTCGACCTTTGTTGAGTACTCACTTCGTAAACCTAAGTTCGTCCTACATTTTTTTTTGGGCCCCCAATATATGGATTAGATTGGGCCTAGGTGGCGGCCTCAATGGCCTATCCTAGGGCCGGCGCTGATTCAATGGCATGGTTGATAGGTTTAAGAATTTTGAATGTCTTTTGTTCAATTGGAATTGTTTGATCTTTAGGCTAAGAGATGGGGAAACTGGGGAAGAAGGCGAGGAAGTTTGCGAAGAAGAATCTTCAATCTGTGCTTCGAGCAAGGCGAAAAACGAAGGGTTTCTTGAGGAAGAAAGCTTCATCAAGTAACTGTTCTCTCTCTCTCTCTCTCTCTCTCTATGTATATAAGTGTATGTATATACGCACACTCGGCACAATCATGTTTTACTTATGTGATGGTAATAGTTAGTCAGATGGTACTAGGCATGGAGAAACCAGAACTACAGAACAGCTAATTGGTATTGAATTGGGGTCAGCATTGATTCAAATGCTTAGGAATTAGTTACCGATGAGATTCTAGCTAGCAACTAATATATCTAAAGACCTTACTGACTGAGAAAAGGAGTTGTTGGAGACACATTGAAATGTGAATGAAGTTCTAATGGCGTTACATGTATAAAAGCTAGGGAAGACTGATAATTCTTGTTCAGAGAATTGGGTGCACTGTACCAAAGAAAAAACTTGCATTAGAATTATCTTCAAACTTTGTTGAGATAATCTATACTATCAGCGAACTTGATCACAAAGTTTCATGGCTGCTTTGTTATATTGACCCACAATGATCATATTTTCATTGGTTTTCTCCAATTTTTGTCCGAGAGGTGTAAGAGAGCAAATTGTTCAGTTTAGCTGTAGCTTAGATCAAATTGATTGGGTTATGTTGACCCTTGTGCTTTATTTCATTTGTTGCAGAACGTAAGAATGATAGTGCTGAAGAGCAAGTAAATAATACAACAGTGCTTTCTAATGGAAGGTAAAAAGGTGAATTTATGCATCTGTTATTTTATTATTATTAGTTTATGTAGACGTACTTTGCATGTGAACTATTATGTGACATATGGTTCTTGCAGGTAATAAGTAAACATATATTATTGATTTAACGTTGAATATAAAATTAAACTCATCAGATATATGAGAAAATTAAAAATTTATTGGACAAAAATAACCTTACAATAACAAGAAGTCTTAAAAAATTATGAAACAGTAATATAACTACCAATCAACCACCAGTGAGTAAATCAACCACCCATACCTCTTTTTATTGAAATTTTTATTTATTGGAGTTTGAATGTCTTCCATCCACATTGCGCCCCACAATAGATACAATTTCGCATTTCAAAATTACAAAAAATGAAGAAGTCATTGCTGATAACATAATGATTCTTTTTAACAATCCCCTGAAGAAGGTAATTTCACCTATTCAACAACCTAACTCTGTACTCAACAATTGGAAGTACCATTACTCATATGTTTTCTCTTTTTGTCTATTCACTCCTTTATCAAGCCCCTAATAATTGACATTATGGTTAAAGGCTCAAGCAACTCAATGCCCCAAAAGAAGCCCAATTTTCTTTTCTTGTATGTTCCATGTTTCTCCAAGGAATAGTGTAAAGTGATATCCACTGAGAGCTACTATATATTAATCCCCATGCTCAATTATCATAATACTGGGAATCAAATAGTGAAATGCTAATTCTCATTCCTACCTTACATCGCCCGGTAGTCCACAGTACAAGATGGAGGAGCACAAAAGATTGNTTCCACTGAGAGCTACTATATATTAATCCCCATGCTCAATTATCATAATACTGGGAATCAAATAGTGAAATGCTAATTCTCAATCCTACCTTACATCGCCCGGTAGTCCACAGTACAAGATGGAGGAGCACAAAAGATTGTGTAAGGAAACTTACGAGACACCTACGTTCCTTTCAAAGATGGATTAATCCCTATTTTATTCACAAATCATCACGGTGATTTGTAGTTGTGATCTGCCCAAATATTTGGCATCCAAAAAGTTCCTCCACACTGATATTTCTCTTAAAAAAATTCATAGTAGAAGTCTAGAACACAAACCCCATAATCTTTTGTTGCTATATAAAATACTATCTATAACTGAAATAAACAAACAAAAAATGGTAAATGTCTAACAAAATAGATTTGGTGTGAACTATTGCCATTGAACCAGGTTTCTATACACAAATAATCGATAGTACATATGCATATGTACCTACATATAATGATCAAAATAATCATCTCCCGCCATTTTCCAGCCACCCAGTCCAACAATGAACAAATAATTTGCTCCAACCAAACCAACGGATGAAGCCTCCAATTCTTCATTTGGTAAACCTTCAACATCCAATTGATAAACCAAAAGATGAAACGAACATGAAATTATGATACATTATTTCTTTTTTGATAGAATACACTATTTTATTAAAAGAAAAAAGATGTAAAATAGGGATGGACATTTAGTCCTTCCAAAATACAAACCATCAAAAAACAGTACATAAAAAAGAAAAAAAACAAAGATAACAAACTAATCAATCACAAGTCACCTTACAATTCACCAAGATTCCAAAAAAGAGGTATACTTGCAAATTTCATTGAAGCCGACACCCAAAAAGTTGTTAAAAAGTGAATTTGGTTCCAAAACTCATCAAACTCTTCATACTTATCTTCAAAGATTTTTGAATTTCTCTCCTACCAAATCACCCAAATAATTGCAAAGAGTACTTTCTTTATTTTCCCTTCCAAATTCTTTATAATCCACACAACATTGTTGAAATTGAATTTGGGATCACCCAAGAAAGCCCCGCCACTTCAAACAACTTATTCCATAAGCCCAACACAATTGGACAATGCAAAAACAAATGGTTCACATTCTTACAATCCTTCTTGCTTGCTGATAACACACCATTGAGGGTAGAGGCATATAATACATTACAATTATATATAAAGGAAAACATATACTGGATAAAACGTTAATAAAAACATATGGTAGATCATGTGTTGACATTGGGAAGTGTGGCCATTGGCCAGTGATGATAGGATACTATCTACATACATTGATTTAAGAATAACTTAGTAAAATTAATAGCAAGATGTCAGATGAATCAAAATTAGGTTAGGAGTGAGGAAGAGACTGAATTTGTGAGAGAGAAACACAAACACACGACTGGGAGATGAAGGATGGACATGACATAGGATTTGATGAGAGAAGAATATAAGTGAAATGAATTATTAAAAGCGGAGGTTTCGTAGGAAGTTGGGCGGATTAAGGATAGGATTCGATGTGGCACTTTCATGAATAATAAATATTTGATTAAAAGTAGTAATAGTGAGAGGATGTCTCTGTATATTTGTTTGGGAGTAATAAAAGAAATGACTATATGAAGGGATAAAAACCAGGTTCTAAGTGAGTCTTGAAATTCTGCTTGATTAAAGGGTGTTAATATCATTTGAAAATTTAAGAGGCACATTTTAGGTAATCAAAAGTTTTATCAAGCTGTTGACATTTTATAGTAGTATAGATAAAACTTGGAAAGCCTTTGCATTTCCTTGATAGTTTAGTTATCTTTTGCTGCAAATAGTGATCTTTTAGTTGTCCTTTTTATTCGATTTATTTTTCTCAAGTGATGGCCTCCTTTTNTATACTGGATAAAACGTTAATAAAAACATATGGTAGATCATGTGTTGACATTGGAAAGCGTGGCCATTGGCCAGTGATGATAGGATACTATCTACATACATTGATTTAAGAATAACTTAGTAAAATTAATAGCAAGATGTCAGATGAATCAAAATTAGGTTAGGAGTGAGGAAGAGACTGAATTTGTGAGAGAGAAACACAAACACACGACTGGGAGATGAAGGATGGACATGACATAGGATTTGATGAGAGAAGAATATAAGTGAAATGAATTATTAAAAGCGGAGGTTTCGTAGGAAGTTGGGCGGATTAAGGATAGGATTCGATGTGGCACTTTCATGAATAATAAATATTTGATTAAAAGTAGTAATAGTGAGAGGATGTCTCTGTATATTTGTTTGGGAGTAATAAAAGAAATGACTATATGAAGGGATAAAAACCAGGTTCTAAGTGAGTCTTGAAATTCTGCTTGATTAAAGGGTGTTAATATCATTTGAAAATTTAAGAGGCACATTTTAGGTAATCAAAAGTTTTATCAAGCTGTTGACATTTTATAGGAGTATAGATAAAACTTGGAAAGCCTTTGCTTTTCCCTGATAGTTTAGTCATCTTTTGCTGCAAATAGTGATCTTTTAGTTGTCCTTTTTATTTGATTTATTTTTCTCAAGTGATGGCCTCCTTTTTGATTATTTTGTGGTGTTCCCTTTGTTTACATGTGGGCCTTTCTATATGTTTCTCTCTCTCTCTACACACGCACACACACACACACACACACTCACACNTATTGTCTCAAATTAGTTCTTCAAAGTTTAATAATTGTCTCAGAAACACTGATGGTGAAGTTATCGAAGATGCTTCTCTTGATGCACTATTCATTGANTGTTTACATGTGGGCCTTTCTATATGTTTCTCTCTCTCTCTACACATGCACACACACACACACACACACTCACACTCAGACACAACTCATATTTGTTATCTTGTATTTTTTGTGTTTTGGTAAAAATTCGGTCCATGAACGGGAATGCACAAATTCAAATGGCTTGGTGTTGTGATCTATTTGTCTCTCTTCCCCTCCTCTCTCAAGAATAGGAGTTGATTATGCTAAGACAGTGTGAGGGATAAGAAATTGTTTTTTTTTTTTTTTTGGGTTTTTGCCCTTGGCTAAACTAGATGGCTTATTCAACTGTTGAATTCTTGCTGCTTTTATTTTATATGCATCCAGACATCCACTGTAGTGCTTGGGAGTTTCTGTAGTTCAATGTTTCAAAATTAAGGGTCTTCTAAAATCCCCTTGCTTGTTGCTTTCTAGGTTTGTTCTCCATTGCATGCAGATGTATTGCTAGACACTATTATAAATCCAAATGACTCTGCTGTAGCGCCGGGACTCCTCACTTTAATTTCGCAAACCACTTAATTGTNGCATCCAGACATCCACTGTAGTGCTTGGGAGTTTCTGTAGTTCAATGTTTCAAAATTAAGGGTCTTCTAAAATCCCTTGCTTGTTGCTTTCTAGGTTTGTTCTCCATTGCATGCAGATGTATTGCTAGACACTATTATAAATCCATATGACTCTGCTGTAGCGCCGGGACTCCTCACTTTAATTTCGCAAACCACTTAATTGTAGTCCTGACTTCCTGGGTGAATCTCCATTTTGTGCATGTGATAGGTGTGCCCTGTAGTTATTTTTTGTGGGACACTGTCTTTAGTACCCAGTTTTTGGTATTTACTTCACTTGCTCTCTCTCTCTCTCTCTCTCTCTCTAACTTTTAATTTATCATTATGGAATCTATATATGATACAACTGTTCAACATCTGAAGATGTTCTTTTATTGAGTATTATCAAATTCTTCAAATGGTGGGAGGCTGTTTAGCATTATATTGTACATATCTCTACATATTAACTACCAATCAAGCTATTTAGGTATCTGCTGTGGATCATATATTATGACAGTAACCAACTTGTCAAAACTTTTGCTTGACCGGAGTCATCGGTGGAGGGTAATTTGTAGAATTTGTTGGTAGCTTGTTCTGTGAAGAGAGTAATTGTTCTGATAATTTATAATGTGAGTTGTACTTTGGTATTGAAAATGTCAATGTTTAACAAGTTCCTCTCAAGTGATGGCTTTTTGGTGCAATATGGGAATTTCTTAAAGAATGGTTTCTAAAGTATATGCACTCCTTTATTGTCTCAAATTAGTTCTTCAAAATTTAATAATTGTCCCAGAAACACTGATGGTGAAGTTATCGAAGATGCTTCTCTTGATGCACTATTCATTGACGATGATAGCAATGTGGTCGCAGATGCTTCAGACAGTGATGGATTTTTATCGGAGGTTTCAAACTATCTCATGCTTGAGATACCTTTACTTAATACCACCTTTGTTTTCTCCGTCAGCCATTGACTATGCGATTGAATAATCAGGACTCGAGCTGTGCAAATATCGTAGAAGTTGAGAGTGAGATTAATTTAGAAGGTAAGACCAGTCTTGGCAACCTTCTTAACACTTTCTAAGTGTTTATTTTCTTTTTTTTTCCCCCCACTCTTACCCTTTCTTTATTGTGATTGATTATACTTATGCAGACAACAATATTAGTACATTATCGATGCACAACAGGAAAATCAGTGAGGAACTTACCGTGCAAAAGAACAAATTGGACAGATTCAAGAAGAAGGTAGTTTTTTCTTCTTGATTCAGATATATATATATATATATATATATTTATTATTTTTTTAACAAAGGATGAAATATTAATGAATTCTGCTGGGTGAAAAGGGAAACATTAGGTAAACATTGCCTTCAGTGTACTGTATCTGGACATGTGACTACTGCCATTAGTTGTCTAGGATGTACATACTACATACTTTTGATGAAACGTAGGATACTCAAAATGTTTTTGGTTTATAGTATTATAGGTCAATATGTCAAGGTAATAATGATTTTAGATAATAATTATCCACGGATAAGAAAACTTTTTGGGCCTTATCAAGGATCCGTGGACTGCTTAATTATTGTTTCATATTTATGTAGATTTCCCCTCGGCGGCTTTATGTAGTTACTTGAACATTAATGTTTTAGAAGTGCCGTGGAAAGAAAGAAAGAATGTAGAACAATTACATGAGCTGGATTAGGGGACATTTATGTGGTAGTACAATTAAGATTATGTTCTTGTGAATTTAAGTGGAATATTTGAGCTGATGTCATGTATTTAACTTTGTAGCATTTTAATGACAATTGTCCCATATATTTGTGTATAATCAGTCTGTGTATTATGCTTCTTGATGGCAAAGTTTTGTAATCCTAAGCTTCCATGGTGGTGCCTCATATATCCAAATTAGGAATCTTGAGGAGCAAGGGGTTTATGGTTTGATGCTCTTTAATTGATTATTATAGTCTGTTCTAATAATCTTTAGATGAGTTATTGAATAAACATGACATATACAAGGAAGCCTTCCAATTAGAAAAATACAAAGAGGCTTAAAAATAGAATACATGGAAAAAGTCTATGAAAGAGTTATAAGTTAAAAAAAAAGTCTATAAAAATCTTAAGTTGAAAAAATAAAAAGTACTTAAAAGTCAACTCATATTTATTCCTACCCACCTTTTGCAAAAATAAGTAAAAAATATATTAAAAAAAGTTGAAATTAAAATCTCTCCCTCCGGTAAAAAACAAAAATAAAAGTTAAATCAATTTTCTTGGCAACAGTAGCACGTCCTTCTTCTGTTTCTTTCTCACATAATAAATTAAAAGTAAATTAATTTTTTTTAAAAATTAATATTAAAAATAAAATAGGTCTTGTTTAGTATTGTTGCTTTATGCCTCAAATTGCCTTAAGCCACCGTTGGAGTCTACACAAAAGTCACCGAGCCAAAAGAAACAGGAAGGCATCGTAAAAAAGTGAGCTTATGAAAGAAAGCACCACCCCTTGAAAAAAAACATATATCCCTTTTGCGCCACAAGCCTCGCATAAGGCAAAATTGGGCCAAATTCCATCTAGTCCTCACATGCCTACTAACTTGGCAGCCCCTTAAACTACTCAGGAGAGTTTCCACTGACCTTGGCATCACCAAGGCATACCTCATAGAGCAACAACATATGCCAAAAGTCTAATCAATGTTATTTCGTTATCCCCATCATTTCATGTGAATATTTAATATGATTGTTGTGAAAAACAGAATAAACTTTGACATCTGGCCAATTAATACCCATAGCAATGTAGAACTAATTTACAGAAATGGAAGTCCTTGGAAGTCTATCGCAGTTTTCGAAGAGGATGTTCATCCATAGGTATAAAAGGGTTATGGTAAATTCTGATGTGGATTATGGGTTGAATGCAAGTGCTTGGTAATAGGCCTAATTCAAGATCTTGGAAACTAAAATTCATTGACGGATTGCTAAGATCTTTATGATAATTGTGTGCTTATCAAGCTTGTTATTTTATTATATTTTGTCACAGGTCTGAAATTAAGGGTACTTATGATATAGATTTCGTTTTTATGCTATTTTTATTCATGTATTTTAAGACTTCATTTTTCTCTTATACATAGGCTACATGAAAATGGTATAACACTATGATCCGGTTTCTTATTTGAATAGAAGTAGGCTTCAATTTTCTTTCAGAAAACTTCAATCCTTATTATGCTTTCTACCTTTCTCATAATAGTAATCCTAACTTATCGAAGGTAAGTTTTATGTGTTTGGGCTGCTCTTTTCCACAGTACTGGGCAAAAATATCAACCTCCTATATTGCATTCTATGCAGTTTTCATTATCCAATATGGGGGTACTGCAATAAGAATGTGAAAAATGTGGATATAACATATTAAATGTTGCTTTTAGAAAGAATTTTTTTATATTTCTCTACATTTAACAAGGGCAGCAGGTTTTTTTTGTTTTTGTTTTTGTTTTTGTTTTTGTTTTATACATGTTACTACAATGAGGTTGTGCCTTGGCACATTGGTAAAGTTGTTCCATTGTGGCCTGGGCATTAAGGGAGTTGTGGAAATAGCTTCTTTGCAAGTGGTGGTGAGGTTGTGTACATTTGACGCTCTCCATACCCATAATGACGAGAGTCTTGTGCATGGGCCGCCTTCTTAGTTGTGTTATTATGAACTAGTCTTAGCAAGTTTCCATATGGGGGTCCTAAACTCGTAATGAGGTCTACTAATTTGTGTCTTTTGTGCATGGTTTCATATGTTGCTTGTGGCTTTAAACTGAACTGGCAAATGCAGACTTTGGATCAAAAAAAAAAAAAACTGGCAAATGCAGACATGAATATATTGGGCTCCCCTTCTATTTATATGTTTATCATTTCAGTATAGTCTGACCCGGGAAGTTTGTGAAGAATCTGATAGGTCATTCAATGCTAGAAATTCCTTTTTATTAATTATTGTTTGTCCATTTGGTTCTCTTGTGAACAAGTTGTTATTATGTTTTTGTTTTATTAATGCATCAATACTTGTATTTTTTCAGGATCTTGAGTTTTCTAAGTTCTTAGAAAGCTACGATAAGGGTGTGGAAACCTTTCGTAATGACGAGACGGTAAAGTTTCAAGCCAAGATGTTTTTTCTATTTTTAGTAATTAATTGCTGATCAGTTCAATATTCTTATCCTCCACAGAAGATTGAGAAAGTAAAATGTTGCACCTTCAACATTTCTAAGATTAAGGATGTTATTAGATTTCTCCCGTCATTGTGGTTTTAGAAACACACTGAAAAAATTATGGCGGAAATAAGGATGTCAAATGGATATGTAGTTAAACTAAAAAGGATAGAATTAATAGCAAGAATATTTCTGATAAAAAGAATTGNGTTATTAGATTTCTCCCGTCATTGTGGTTTTAGAAACACACTGAAAAAATTATGGCGGAAATAAGGATGTCAAATGGATATATAGTTAAACTAAAAAGGATAGAATTAATAGCAAGAATATTTCTGATAAAAAGAATTGGCACCAATAGGAGATAAATTAAGATAGTGTTGATTTAGGTTGCTTGGACATATTATGGAATGCTTTTTATTGCACAACCGATGAAGTGTGATGGGTACCTGTTAACCCTAATTTGAGAGGTGGAGGGAGATTGAAACTGCATGTAAATGAGGTAGTAAAAAAATCTGATAGCGTGTGGTTTAACAGAAAATAGGCCTTTGATAGACCATTATAGCATAATCAAAATGTGGTTGACCCCAAATTGTTGGGATTAGGCTTTGTTTAGGTGAGTTGGGTTGAGTTATATGATGGTCTTGGATAATAGAGATCATCTTTTTCTTTTACATTAATTGAGAAAGAATCCGCACATTACTTGAATTTTATGAAGCTATATTTTTTTTATGAAGCTTTATTAAGAAACAGTAGACAAGCAACAGCCATTTAGTAGTATATGCAGTCCATTGATGAAAATAACTGTCCTCCAATCAGGTGCAAAATCAGAACAGAACAACATTCTTAAAGAAAAAGGACACTCTAGGGGATCTTTGAGTAATTGACCACAGTTTAGGGAACCGGGGAGTGATGCTACTTTTTTGTATCACAAACTCCTCGTTAATTTTGCCCAATAACATTTACAGAATCTGGAAACAAAAAGTAAATTTAATATCCCTTTTTGACATCTTCCCTGAATGGATATATTTGTCCAGTATATTCTAGTGCTTAAAAGAACGTATAGTTGACAAGTTGAAATCTCTATATGTGTTAAGGCCACAGGCTACTCTTGAAGTGTCATATACTCTGCTGTGGTTGTGATGTTTGTTGTCATGCTCATGCTAATTAGTTTGGGTTCTTTCTCTAGCTTGTTTCACTTAGTTTAATACGTTACATCTTTAGAATAAAGCTGTTTACTTTCATCAGGTGATGTGAATCTCCTTAATGGGAAACCTTTAAGGTGATGCATGTTGCATTTATTCTGGTTCTTGTCAAAAGAAAAGCTCGTTGGCCCTCTTTTGATGTTGTTTGAGTTAGGCTTATTATTGAAACTTGAAAGTTTGCAAAGAAAAACCCTGTGTGAAGTTTCATCAATTTGGAAGGTTTCATGAAGGTTGTTCTGACAATACATGCATTGGTGGGAAATTACATTACTGCAAGAAAGGCTTGTCAACTGGATTAGGAGATTGGAGGATTCTTCTTTGTCTATGATGTCTTGGAAGGTCTTTGTCCATGATGTCATTCACTATGCAATTGATAATTGTTGAGTATAGGTGTTTACCACCATTGCTCTGAGTTTTTTTTTTCTTTCTTTAGTGTTTATTTCCATCATGGTTAATGCCTAGTGCATATAAATTATAATATTTTTCCGAAGTTTTTCCGAAGTTTATTTTTAGTGCTACTTTTTCTATATGCTTCTGTTGTTGATTGTTAAAACTTTGAGCTCAAAATATATATCTAAGTTTGTGTCATTGCTTAAATTACTTGAGGGGGCCTTAGGCTGCATTAGTGTTAACCGAGATGAATGAGAAAAGCAAGTTATCTAATTTTGTTCACTATTGTTCCTGTTACTTGAGGGGGTGTCAGGTTTCCTAAGTGTGAACCACAATATATAAAAAATGAATGACCTGAAAGCTAATTTTTGAGCATGTCCTATGAATTTCAACAAATTTGGTAGTTGAACTCTCATAAATTTCTGTTGTTATTCTTCTCCATTATGATTTTCTAGTATGCTTTCCTTTGTAACAGTCCTCTGATGAAGATGAGATTAGCCATCATGGGATGCAGTTTATGGATGAAGATGAATCCGCTATGAACAAAGGCATAGTTTTGTCAAGTTCGGTCATCAACTCTTGGTGTCAACTGGTTAGAGTGGAGCATAGTGAGTCTGCCCTTACTAGTATATTAAATGCGTATCGGGCAGCATGCCACTATGGCACAAAACTGATTGGCCGTAGAATTCAGAATAGTGAGACCTTCTGCAACGTATTAATGTTCGTGCTTCATGATGCTGACAGTATATTTCGGGGGCTGTTGAAAATACCATCCTCCAATTGCAAGAAACAGATGATACTAGAATTGAAAAATACGTCAAAATGGAAAAATCTGAAACCACTTGTCAAGTCTTATCTGAGGAGTACATTATTTCTGTTGAACCAGGTCACCGACTCAGAGATACTGTATTTCTCTTTGACCCGACTCAGAGCTTCTCTAATATTCTTTGCTGCTTTTCCATCTTTACTGCACAAACTCATTAAGGTACTTTGATTTCAGTGAAAACATTGCAGTTTGAACATCTGATTAATGTGGCTTCGAGATTCGTCGTCATTCTAATGAATTTTGATATGGTTATCATTCACTCAATATATCTTTTTCTTTCTTTTTTTTTGGGGCCTGAGGGTCCCAGAGAGGAGTTGGGATGTACACAACTTGCTTCACTCTGACATTGGTCACCATAGGGACCTTTCTTTTGTTCCCCTCATCAAATTCCTTCCAAATGAAATGTAATTATGCCTTTCTTATCAAGGTTATCGTATGTTCAACATTATCACAGAGTTAGCTCAGAAATTAGATGTTTAAACAGGTTAGGGAATAGAAAAAAAAATCCATACTTGTTGAATGTAATATACGCTGAGAGATCGCATTTCTCTGTATTGAACCATACATTCGGAATTCAGATCTGGTCCACTTTCTTTGCTTATCTAGATAAGTTGCTGGTAACTCTAAAGTGAATCAATGAAATTTTAGTATTATTGGGGACCCTGATAAATGTAATTTATGTTATTATTTGCCAAGTTGTTATATTTTGGTAGGTAAAAGTTGGATGCTGTTGAATGGGCCCATCATTGACTATGAAATCCTTTAGTTTTATGTCACACAGAAGTTATTGTTTTCCTGTTTTCATTTTTCAAATTGAGCTGTATTAATCTTCTTTTTCTGCGCATGGGGAGAAGTTTGTTAGGTCAAATGTGTTATGCGGACATGAACATTAATATTCCTAACAAGGAAATGCCCTCGGTTTAGGGAATAAGTACATATCTTTAGTGTTATATGCTGACAGATCTTATTCCTTTTTTACGAAGTTACATCAAGTTTATGAATGATCTGAGGCATCCATGTACTTTCATACCTTGTTTTGATTCATATTTTTCCAGTGGAAAATATTTGCATCTCTACACAATTCATTTATTACTGTGTCAAGGTGCCTCCATAGGGTACAGTGTTATTATGTGGGTTTCAATAATTATTTGAAGTTCGTTTTTGTGTTTGTCTTCTTTGGGTGCTGATTTCTTTTCTGCTGGCCCTATCTGGTCATTCGATTTTCCCAACTGATATCCATGATGTTTTGATGGGAATCATGGGTTGGAATTTTGGTATATATATTTAAGCCGACAGAATGCGGATTTAACATTATGTTTCAATGTGTTCGATCATTGGGCTATGCATTGTGTTTGCTATTTTGATGCGTCAACCAAATATTGGAGAATGTTGATATGTCTAGTGGAAATGAAAATGGTATGACATTTTGATGCGTCTTTGGTATTATTGGCCCCTCTTTTAATAAGCTTGTTGAGCTACCAGTTATATAGTGCTTTTCTGGGCTCCCCAACCCACCCAGGGAGAAAAATAGAAATTGCATATTAGTGGCTCAGAAACACCATCAGTGTCTGCTGAAGATTTTCTGTGTGAAATAGAGCTCTGCATATGGTTTCAGAACCGTTTGATGTATTAATAATGACGAGTGGTTGTTATTTGTATCTGCATACATCATGTCTCTGTGTGTACAGGTAGAGCATGTGCTTAGAACATTGTTCGATGTTTATTTGAAGAGGCACAGAGCATACACTAATAAGAGGCAGAGAGGTCTGAGTCATTCCAATCAGTTTCAAAAAGAAACACTATTATAGTAAAAGTAACTAGTTTTGGATTAGTGGATTGATGTTTTATGTTACTTACATGTATAAATGACCGACTTGGTTATACGTGTGTGTATACTTGAAATGATGGGGTTCACAAACCTAAGACCTTCTGTATCTATAATTGTCACATTCTCAATTGAGAGTGCTTATGGGTTCAATCTTGTCACCANCGTGTGTGTATACTTGAAATGATGGGGTTCACAAACCTAAGACCTTCTCTATCTATAATTGTCACATTCTCAATTGAGAGTGCTTATGGGTTCAATCTTGTCACCAATAATTTGGTTAAGCCTGAACTGGATGTGGAAACAGAATTGTAAAGGGAGAAACTTTAGATCTCAATTTTAATTTGTTCACGGAGTCAATGGGTCATCACCAGCCAGGAATACTGGGCCCTGGCTGGTTTGTTTTGAAAAATGTCTAAATGTTAGTCCTACCCAGTCTAAGGCCCGGGTCACTGGATTGGCCTTGATAATACTGGATGCTTTCCTATGCTGTTTGACAGTTCCATGTTGTGGTCATTTATTCCTCATTGACACTTCTTATTTGATGCAGATTGCAGTTCACTTGTGGGCAACGGGGGGAGGGACTCTATCATCATCTTCCTTTGTTATCATACGGGATGTGGCTGCTATTTATAATTCCGATTGCTATGACACGTGCTTAATAAAAACATTCAATGCCTACATTGCTCAAATCAGAGTTCCAGAAACTGTTAACCTTAAACACATAAAGTTCTTGAGGTATTCTTTGGTTGAGCTCTGCTCCTTAGATGTGCAGAAATCAAATAACAAGGCCCTTTCTTCTATTCATCAACTTGGCAAAATATTGCAGCTGGGACTACAAACAAAGAAAAAGGTATGGTTAATATGCTTCTGCTACTGTTTAATTTCATTGGATTTGGACACTACCATGATACTTCTTTGAATTAAATGCTACATGCTTTTGGCGAGTCATAATATTTATTGAGGGGACTACTTCATGCTGTGATATATAATTTTAATGTGCAGGAAGCCGTTAAAAAGATATGCAGTTGGGAGTATTCTAACTGCATTGATATCTGGGTTATGTTCATATCAGCCAATGTACGTGATTATGATCTTCAAACCTTGTTTAACATGACCATTCAGCTTATAAATGGAGTATCTCACATGTTTCCTGGGCCAAGATATTTCCCTTTGAGGTTGAAGTGCATTCACTGGCTGAATAATCTATCTAGTTGTAGTGGGATTTTTATCCCCATTGCTTCATTTGTGTTGGATATTTTGGAATATAAAATCGGCAAGGAGGGTGGAAAAACTGGAAAGACCTATGATTTTCTATCAGTCCTAAAGGTGAGGAGATTTTCAATTTATTTTGCCATTTTAGATTATTGCTTTGATTGCTTCTCTGTGCGTAATCCTGAAAACTATTTGCATGCATTGTAGACCACCTTAATTAATTGTAATTATATTAATTCGTATGTGCTACAGTTGCCAAAACAATTGTTAAAATTGCAAACTTTCCAAGAGGAATGTGTTGTCTCTGCCATTGAACTGCTCTCAGCACACTTTGCTCAATGGAGTTATCACATTTCTTTCCCTGAGCTGGCAGCTATTCCTCTTATCCATCTAAGAAAGTTTCATGAAACTACTTATACTGAAAGTTGGCGACGTGTGGTGAAGCGTTTGATTGATCAGGTAAAAGTCCTCATTATATCTCAAGCATTTACAAAGATTTTTTTTTATAATTTGCACATTCATGAGTGGAAAAATGCAGCCGCATTTTAAGGAAATCCCCTTTCGCCTAGGTGACTCTTTTTTGAAACTGTTCATGTGGAAATCCCCTTTCCTAGGGGCAGCAATTTGATTTCCTGGCCCGAACTTCCTTTTAAAAGTAAATATNTCAGCCGCATTTTAAGGAAATCCCCTTTCGCCTAGGTGACTCTTTTTTGAAACTGTTCATGCAAGTACTTCTGGTGGAAATCCCCTTTTCCTAGGGGCAGCAATTTGATTTCCTGGCCCGAACTTCCTTTTAAAAGTAAATATACTTGTGTAAGACCCGTCTACCAGCACGAATATCACTTTTAGAACTACTGCCCAAAGACTATGTACATTCAGGCTCCCAACCAACTTATTAAGCTTCAGCCGGTCCTAATAAAAGCTTATCAATCTGAGCTTGTTTGGACCCAACCTGCTTAACAAACATGAATACTAAATGTCACGCAAGGAGATGTGAACAGATGAACCCAATTGACAAGCATGTTCTGGATCTCCTATCTGGATGGTAGTTATCTGATATGTAGATATATAATCAAATATTAAGTTCATATAATGTCCTTCTTTTTAAATCCATATCTAGATAGATTTATATTGCCAAATCTAGCTGGGAATTTCAATGCCCTATAAAGTTGGGCATGATATGACTTTGTGGGTTTGTAAGAACAGATTTTTTTTCTTCTAGGAAGTAGATGGGCCGTTTTAGCATGATAAGTTGGACAAGAAAAGTTTGACTCTGGCTGTAGTTGGATTGTCCTAACGTTTGGAAATTAATCCATCTCTTTTTAAGCAATTTGACTGTAGAGCACTGAACTTTTAATTTTCCACGAGTGGGAACAATGTGGATTTGTAGAAACTATGATGTTTGAGGATGTATAACAGCAGATTCTGATCAACAAATTTTACTTTATTTTTCGTTTTTTGGTCCTTTACTGTGAAACACTTCTTTTGGCACTGCAGGTGGAGCAGAATGTGGAGTTTGTGCAGAAGAAAAGAGACGAGGTTTCCTTCTCACCAGAAGATCATCAATCCGTTGAATCATTTCTTCAGGTTTGGTTCCATTTTTTTTGTCAAATCAACTCATTTATTGGATTTGACAGATGTTACTTTTTATGAGTTTGATAAATGTTTGATGTGCAGATTGAAAAGCAGAGTCTCAAGGCGCCATTTACTCAATATTACAGAAGTGTCATGGAAAAGGCTGCTATAAGGAAACTGCAAAAGAATGACAATATAAGGTGCAGTCTACGGTCTACCTGATCACTTTTTATTCACACAGACACATTAATCTGGTTAGTGAGGGAGCACTTTAATAGGGCATAAAAAATCATTTCAGGTACTTGGTTTCAGATGACAACTGAATGTCAATGCTAACCGACAAAAGGATGGATGGATACTTTCTTTTGATATAAATCGGTATACCAATATTAAAATGAATAATCCGTTATTATAACTTTAGAATAACACATCTATAATAGATGAAAAAACACCCATAGAGGGGTTAAGAGAAACCCAAAAAAAGACACAATAGAATTCCCAAAGAAGGGGACTAAAATGGATGGATACTGTATTAGGGTGATCTGTGTGGATATTAACTCAATCCAAAAGATAAAAGTCAGGGATAAGATACCAATATAAATCTTGAGGTTTTTATTGTGAAAATAATAATCATCAACATTGCCTGTAACAAATCTACCCATTTGCCTTTATTTGGATGGAAAATGTGAAGGATATCAAAGCATATATGGTACATAGTGTGGTGGATGCATACATGATTTCTATCTCAATCCATTTTTAATCGCTCATAATTTTTTTTACCGCAGCTACCTGGAGCAGGGAAAATTGAAGAGAAAAAGGGAACGACTTCCAAATAATATGGTGGATGCAGTTACTAATGCAGAGAATGGTTGTGTTAGAGTTTGATTCTAAGGTGACAAAAAGAAGAGCTGTGAAAGTATGATGCTTCTAGCTTCTTTTACTTCTTCCTTTTTTTCCAAATTTTGTTGAGTAATGGAATCATGATTTATGTTATTTATCCTTTTTTTCTTATAAAAAAATGTTATTTACCCTTTTTTCACATTTGTTGAAAACTTTGTAGATTTAACATACATCTTATGTAGACTTTGTTGGTCAAAACTGAGTTGCAAAGACAGCAAAATTACTTGCACTGGCCATCTGGAACAAATTTTTCCCCCTACCTAAAAGGAGTTACATTAGCGGATACCCATCTTGGGTTGTAATTTGCCTTGGTTTCTCCTTCTTTAAGAAGTTTTTGCCTTCAGAATGTGAATCTCAACGGTGCATGATGTGGATACCTAACATTTTCGAGCTTTATCCATCTTCCACCCCTCAAAATTAGAAATTCTGTGGTAAAAAGAACTTCGGCTATTGCACTGAAAATATTAGCCTACATGTCAATGATGAGTGGAAATCATGTTTCCTTGATTTGGAAACCACATCATGGCATTTGATTTGCAAACTTTAAGTGAATCAAAGGTTTTTATCATTTTCGTCAATGTGCTTTGTTCTTTGATTATGATAAATGGTGCCACTGTGTGTCTTGTTTTTGCCTGTTCTGCATACCTAAGCCTTTTCTACAGCTGAATCATTTAGGTAGCATGCTACATTTGCTTGGTAGTAGTAGAGGAAAGTTCTAATTTTTCTGGTAGTCTTTATTGCTTCTGCTTTCTGTTGTTGCATACCAAGATTGTGTTCATTTATTTCTTGTTCTCTAAGTTTGATGGAACATTGATGGGATAAATTTTAGCATGTCGTCGTTGATACGCCATCCTCAACAAATTAGATAGATTGAATTTTTTTTGTTGTAACCGAGATGAGCATATTATTGACATTCTACTCATTTGTATCAATTTGCAGGTCTCTCTCTCTCTCTCACACACACACACACAAATGCTCATGAACGCGCTCACACGCACGCGCACTCACATACACATACATTCTTATCTCTCTGTGCAATTCGTNCGATTGAATTTTTTTAGTTGTAACCGAGATGAGCATATTATTGACATTCTACTCATTTGTATCAATTTGCAGGTCTCTCTCTCTCGCTCTCTCACACACACACACACACACACACAAACGCTCATGAACGCGCTCACATGCACGAGCTCACACGCACGCGCACTCACATACACATACATTCTTATCTCTCTGTGCAATTCGTTTATGCGCACACACACACACACATTCTTATCTGTGTGTGATGTGTTTATGCATAAGTTTCAAACTGTTATTATCTTTCTATGATCACTGAATTTAGGACAAGTAGATGCGAATGTATTCCGGTTCTGGCCAGAGAATGATTCACAAAGAACATACACTTTTTACATTGATGATCAGTGTTCAAATGGCATATTAATTTGTATTGGTAGATTCAAAATTGTTTGTAAATAAGAAATTGATGGAAAACAAGTGGTATAAATTCTAGGTATGGATCAACTACGGGCAGCCTCTAAGAAATCATCACTGCCGAGGGTTGCTCCTTCCGAGGACTTTTGGAGTGTCGAATTCCATTGGCTCCCCTAGCTTTCGTCTGTTAGTGTTAGTGTTAGTGTTAGTGTCAGCCCAGTGCTTTCGTTGTCGGTGTTTTTTTCAATNCGAATTCCATTGGCTCCCCTAGCTTTCGTCTGTTAGTGTTAGTGTTAGTGTCAGCCCAGTGCTTTCGTTGTCGGTGTTTTTTTCAATCTCTACGCATTTCACGCCTGCTCCTACCAAACTGTAGCTTTGTAGTTTTAATCGCCTGTCCAGGTTGAGCCTTCACGGTGGGTGATGAAGGTGGCTTATTAACTTGCAACACAGTAAGAGTGTTGTTGGTACAAAGTCTGACCAGACACCCAACTTAAAAATCTTTTTATAGTGGAGGACTACTTGATTTATTGTGGTTTACAAGTTAGGAGTAAATGGTTTTTACCTGAAAGATAAGCTTTCTAGAATGTTCCTACACTCATTTTGATAAGCATTCCATCTTTTTTCAAGTGACGAATCTTGCAAGCGTTCTTAAGAAAAGAAATTTGTCTTGGGGTCTCAACAAAGAGGTATGGAAATAAACAAGTTATGATATAGAAAAAGGAGGATTTTTGAGTTTTTCCTTCCGGTTGAAAAAACATTCATTCTTCAATTCATTTTCATTTCTTAAAATACTTCAATTGAGACACTTGAAAAATATGATAATTCAGTAGCTTCTTGTTTAATAATTTTTTTTGATAGGTAACGATATTTTTACACTACAGGGAAGGGGGACTTGTACCATCAACTTACCATTCTACTATAAAGGGTTCCAACCATTCGGGGAGGACATTGGTCTTTTTTTGTTTAATTTATTGTGGAGTGAGAAATGTTAGAAGTTTGTGGCCCTTGTTAGGTAATTTTTACGGTAATCGAAGAATTCTCTTTCACCAGTATTCATACATACAGACAACCAAAAGGATTGCCTTCCCACACCCCTATTTGGTAGTATTGCCTTTAATTAGATAGGAATGGATTTAGCTGACCCCCACACCTTATGTAAATGTGCTGTGGATTTTTTTGAGTTAAACTATCTATTTGGCCTCTGAACTATACCGTTTGGAAAATGTTATNATAAGAGAGGTAGGTAAGTGTGGATTAGTGAGATTGTCTGACATTAGAGAATATGTTGATTAAGTTGTTTCACATTGAGAATCGTATAGAAAATATAATATTTTTAAACGGAAAAAAATATTTTAGAATAAATTTTGTACTATTAGATCGAAATAGATGAAAATTGAGTTAATTTTGATTGTTATTGTGCCTTTTATAAGTGAAAAATTCAAATTTGAGACAGAACCCAAGGGATAATTCAAGTGATAACGAGAACGAGACATAAATTCAGACGTTTTGAGTTCAACTCTTGACAATTCCTTGAGACTAAGANACTTCATTTAACATTGGAACTCACAACTAATCTAATGGTTGCATTGAAGTCATATCATTAAGTCTCCAAATAAGGTCCACATAGCATTGCTCATTCCGTTTATATCAATCAAGTCTTTGAACTACGTTTTGTATTATTTAGTTCTTTAACTGTACAATTTGATTCAATGCGGCCATTTTGTTCAAAGTTGACGTTATCTTTGATATAAATCTTTACGTGCACATCATCATATGAGTCGGATATTATGTAATGATTCAGCAGCCACCTAATGTGCACGTGAGGGTTAAATTAAAGAGTTTAATTTTTGGGAGAAATGGGATGGATTTGATTGAACAAGAAGAGCATCTGACTAATGGTGTTTTTGGGTTATGCTTTTTGATCCAAATAAGACATGAACACAACCCAACCATAATAATTCGAAGACGACACAAATCTAAAACCTCGTAATTAAATTGAAATATGTGCACTAATAAAAGAATTTCAAATAAAAAAGACATCAGTACACGTCTATCCTAGTTTGGAGCGTGTCATACAGTCAATTCTTGCATACTCGGACACGTTCAAGGCGGGGCCACTACTCGCGACGGCGGTTGTATGGTGTAGGCCACCACAACCCAAAGCTCTAATCAGCCCCCACAACCCCTTCATTCTTCTCCTCCCAACAAACCCCTTCTCACCACCACCGCTGGTTCTAAACAACCATGATTTCCTGCGAATCTTCCTGCTTCTCATATCCCTCAGTTCCATCTCCGCCGGAAACTTGGCCAATCCAAACATGAACAAGTACCATCTATCATATTTCTTGCTGCATTTATGGGTGTCATACCTATATTTCTCCGGCACCGGCGATGACAAAGTCTTTGAACTCGAAACATACCGCAAATTTGACACCCTTTTTCTGGATTCAGAGGGTTTTGATCTGTTCAACGACTTCGATGTCCACCTGAAAAGGCCAGGCTTGTGTTCTTCTCGCTCTTTGTTGCTTTCTTTCTTGTGGGTGTCTTCGGAGACTGGTTCTTTGCAGGGAATGATCTTTCCACAGAAGACAATTTTTTCCGATGAAAAACTGGACCCTTTAATCCAATCTTCACTGAAGAATTCAAAGCAGTCTTGATCGGACGGCGATGATGATGATGATGAAAAGTTTTGATGTTGTTCAGAGAAGTCTTCGTAACGAGCAGAATCGTTGTATATAGGAAGATCACATAGGGATAGTGTCTCCTCTGCTTCGTCTAAGTCATCTTGTACAGTGTTTTCTGTCACCAAGTCTTGGTAAGGCTCTTTGGATTCTTTGGAAGCCATAGCTGTAATGGAGGAGTGACGGATATTGGAAGAAAGTTTTGAGGAGATAAGTAGTTGTTATAGAGATTCTCACCTATGAGGAATTGAGGGTACCTATTCAATGATTATATAAAAGGAGCTTCAGTGCGAGAGAGACTTGCAAGTGTTAATGTATAGGAGTTGCGTCACCCGAGTAATAGATTCGAGTCGTGGTAGTTTTAACTTGTGTTTATTTTCGTGTTATATTATCTTTGTGTCATGTTTGTATTAGATCAGGTCAATTTTAAACCGACTAAAAGTCCAATAACCTCTTAAGACCCTCATTTCTCTCCTATATTCATAATAATCCGATTCTCTAACAATTCATGTAATATTAAGGCAAAATATATTTTTTAAAAAAAAAATAATTACAATATAAGTCGAAAAGCTCAATTATTCGTGTTTAATGTAAATTTAACTAATTTATTTTTAATATTATTAGATTGTATTATTTTTGTATTGATATCATCTATCTTGTTTAAAATATATATGAGGAGAAGGACGAAAGAGACTCGCATGCTACAAACGGCTACTTGATAGCAACAGCTTCTAGAGGAAATAGAATTTTATATGGGCTTCTAGAGGGAATATAATTATCCTAGCAATAACATGTGTCTCAAGTTACCTGTAATACTAAAATTTGTGCATTAGTCCTACAATATTTATATTTTTAGTAGTAATTTATTTTTTTTAATTATGTAATTTAAAATTAAAGTAAACAGTAAAAAAATAAGAGAGGTAGGTAAGTGTGGATTAGTGAGATTGTCTGACATTAGAGAATATGTTGATTAAGTTGTTTCATATTGAGAATCGTATAGAAAATATAATATTTTTAAACGGAAAAAAATATTTTAGAATAAATTTTGTACTATTAGATCGAAATAGATGAAAATTGAGTTAATTTTGATTGTTATTGTGCCTTTTATAAGTGAAAAATTCAAATTTGAGACAGAACCCAAGGGATAATTCAAGTGATAACGAGAACGAGACATAAATTCAGACGTTTTGAGTTCAACTCTTGACAATTCCTTGAGACTAAGATCTCTTATGAATAACTTAATCCCGACATAGATGACTTATCTTTGACTGAATTAAGGAGAAAATTAATTAAGATATACATAAACTGACTCGAAAACTCTGACCGGTAAAAAAAGGGGGAGGATGGAGGGGACCCTTTTGCTCTTCTAGAATTGCAGGCATGGAAAATGGATTGAAACGTGGTCATGGTCACATACTAATATATGTATATAATATAATTGTGGGTTTCTTCTAGATGTAGCTTGGTAGCATTAGGCAACTATTTGGATTTTTCCTTCTGGATGTTTGTATTGGATGCGGTACACCATGCAGTGGTGGGGCTCCATGTGCTCGTTGATGTTTGAATTCAAAGCCAAAAAGGCTTGATTTATAGGTGGATGCTAAGTGGAGCAACTCTGTTGGCCTAATTATTCTAGATATGGGGCCTACTTTCAAGCATTTTGTTTACACCATGAATAATCGACTCAATCATACATTATTAAAATCGAAATTCTAATTTAAATGTTGAATTCGCCTGATCAACTTAGAATTATAAGCAGTACGTCTTGGATAAATCAGAGTTTTTTTGTAAGCGTTGAACTTTAAATTTTAAAGTAATAACGTCTAACTTTTTCTAATTTGAAATATCTTGAAGGGTGGGATTCTCCACCGTTCTGCTTATAGAAGTCATTTACAAGAATCGAGAGTTTTAGTGACGCAAAACATATATAATCAGTACATTATATCTATATCCACAAAATAAAACATAATAAACTACATCGGTCTATTATTATTGATTGGTATATACAGCTTATGCTTCTTTGGAGTTATGCAGATATTAATTGATTTCTCGATGAATTTTATCATATCTCCAGTACCTATATCCATCAATAGGGTAATGGTTCAAAACCACACACCTCATGCCTCAGGGCCCAATTATCCCTAGGCTAGGATTGATGTTAAACGCATGCTTCAACCAAAACTACCTCCTAAACTACTTTTAGAGAGAAAACGATGTTGCACTTCTAAGACAAAATATTTAATTTAATGGTTATACCGTATCAATAGTGCTACGTGGTGTAATTATTTATTAATAAGTGAACAAATGGACATATGAACGATACAAATTTTAATAACTACTCATCCACGTAAAGTGATAACTATTCAACAGGTGAAATTATTGATCATGTGATGCAACCGTTATGCTCGATAGCTACTCCACTTCTGGAGGGACAAGGATAGTGATTTGTTTGTTCTATTCTTGGTTAGCAAGTCGTAGACGTATGCCTTTTTTTCAGTTCTCGTCTCTTGAATCTCTGATTTATTATTTTCAATTCTTTTTCTAGTCTTCTCTTTCCTATTCATTTTTTCGAATTTTTTTTTGCACTTTTGTATCAGTCCATGGCTTATGGACAAAAAAGGCAGAATCTTGGGAAGAGTTACTTGTATAACACAACTCTTCCACAACCATTTGAAAAATCATTAATTCCAACCATCTAGTCAACTTGAGAGAGAGAGAGAGAGAGAGCTTTATGCTCTTCTGGAATAGTAGGAGTAGAAAATGGCTTGAAACTTGGTCATGGTCTAATTCTAATATATGTGTTACAATTTTAGCTTTCTTCTAGATTGAGCTTGGGAGCATTAGGCAACTATTTGAATTTTTCCTTCTGGAGGTTTGTCTTTGATGCCATGTGGTTGTTGATGGTGCTTGGGGTGGATGCTAAGTGGAGCACTTGTATGTTGGCCTAATTCTATATACATGGAGCCTACTCAAGCATTTTTTATACAACGAATAACCATCTCAATCATACGTTATTTAAATAGGGTTATAATGTAAATGTTGAATAGACACAATCTTGCTTAAACCACGTGTCTTGGATGTGAACCAAAGCTTTTGAGAGAGTTGAACTTGGGATTTCAAAATAATAACATATAAATATTTAGGGCATGTTTGGTTTGCATCTCAAAAAACAACATATAAAAATAGTTTTTGAGAACAATTTTAAGAAAGTGTTTTTAAAAATTTTTAGATTGTAAAACCTGTTTGGTTATGTATTTTTGAAAATAATTTTAAAAAACAAAAAATTGTAAAATCTGTTTGAGTAATAATCCACAAAACTAATTTTTAACTTATTACTTTTGACCAAAAAAAAAAAAACACACTTTTGTATCTTCTCTCTCCGACAGTAACACCATCGTCTAGAGTCCTCTCTCTCTCTCCACATTATCTTCTCTCATAACAAGATCAGCCACACACACAAAGCCAACAAACACCTACCCACACATACAACCATCTCACACCCACACATTCATATTCATATACATCAGATAATACACACACACACACACACACATATATATACACACACAAAGATCACAGATCTGTATATATACACAGATCTGTGTATATATACAGATCTGTTCAAATCTGCTGCAGAGAGAGAAAGAGAAGAGATAAATTGCGTGAGAGAGAGAAGACTACAGTTGTTCGTTGTTGACCTTTGGCCATCGTCGGTGCTCATACGTTGGCGTCAAACTTCGGCAGAGAAGGAGAAGGCAACTGAAGTTATTTGTTGGTGCTCCTATTTTGTAGTTAATGGGATTCGATGATGAGACCTCATTAATTGGACTTGTTTCCCGTGTTTTCTGTGTTGTGAAAATTTGTTCCCAAATTCAGCCAAAATGCCCCCAACATGTTCTCTAAAAATCCATCTCAATTCTCACTTTTTTTTTTTCTGAAAATTATAGATTAAAAAAATCTAACCATACATGTTTTCATTGTTTTTAGAGATTTGAGAACAAAAAACTGTTTTCTAAACACAAACCATGACCTTATTATTTAAANGATCCCTAATGAATAACCTAATCCCGACATAGATGACTTATCTTTGACTGAATTAAAGAGAAAATTAATTAAGGTATACATAAACCGAGTCGAAAACTCTGACCGGTAAAAAAAGGGGGAGGATGGAGGGGACCCTTTTGCTCTTCNAATCTCTTATGAATAACTTAATCCCGACATAGATGACTTATCTTTGACTGAATTAAGGAGAAAATTAATTAAGATATACATAAACTGACTCGAAAACTCTGACCGGTAAAAAAAGGGGGAGGATGGAGGGGACCCTTTTGCTCTTCTAGAATTGCAGGCATGGAAAATGGATTGAAACGTGGTCATGGTCACATACTAATATATGTATATAATANCGATGTCCACCTGAAAAGGCCAGGCTTGTGTTCTTCTCGCTCTTTGTTGCTTTCTTTCTTGTGGGTGTCTTCGGAGACTGGTTCTTTGCAGGGAATGATCTTTCCACAGAAGACAATTTTNTATAATTGTGGGTTTCTTCTAGATGTAGCTTGGTAGCATTAGGCAACTATTTGGATTTTTCCTTCTGGATGTTTGTATTGGATGCGGTACACCATGCAGTGGTGGGGCTCCATGTGCTCGTTGATGTTTGAATTCAAAGCCAAAAAGGCTTGATTTATAGGTGGATGCTAAGTGGAGCAACTCTGTTGGCCTAATTATTCTAGATATGGGGCCTACTTTCAAGCATTTTGTTTACACCATGAATAATCGACTNAATAATTGTGGGTTTCTTCTAGATGTAGCTTGGTAGCATTAGGCAACTATTTGGATTTTCCCTTCTGGATGTTTGTATTGGATGCGGTACACCATGCAGTGGTGGGGCTCCATGTGCTTGTTGATGTTTGAATTCAAAGCCAAAAAGGCTTGATTTATAGGTGGATGCTAAGTGGAGCAACTCTGTTGGCCTAAGTATTCTAGATATGGGGCCTACTTTCAAGCATTTTGTTTACACCATGAATAATCGACTNTCTTTCCACAGAAGACAATGTTTTCCGATGAAAAACTGGACCCTTTAATCCAATCTTCACTGAAGAATTCAAAGCAGTCTTGATCGGACGGCGATGATGAAAAGTTTTGATGTTGTTCAGAGAAGTCTTCG